GGAGAGGTACTTTCCATTTCATTTCATTTCAATGTACTTTCAATTCTGTTGTATTCCTTTTAGAAAATCAATGAAATGGGCAATTCTGTGCGTTATTTTGAATATCGAATTTTCCCTGATTATTAAGCCATACTAGAAAAATCCTTAAATTACTCGCATTACCCGACTGACCACCGAACGGTTCGTAATTACGAAGCCGGGAACGATTAAACAGGACCAATACAATCTTGACATCTTCGACCCCCTGCTTAAGAAATTCCATCCGATCACCATTGCGAATGCACCTTTAGTTTCAGTTCAAAAAGTAACCCCAGTAGTTTATACTAGCAGTCAGCACCGTCTGAACACAAACCACGTGGGGAGCCGATGAATATAAGCGTTTGATGCCTAATCAATAATGATCCTTCGTATCTCAATGCAAAATGAAAAGAGATTGCACCAAAGTACACGGTCGCAGACAATAAACGAGAAATATGAGAAGGACTCCGTTTCGGGTTGGTTCAGAGGTACTGGTTCTGAACTCGGTAGGGCGTGCCACGGCTCGATCCCCCACAACCTCCGCATCGGATAAAACATGAAGGGTTACCACACTCGTGTACCAGACCCCGTGCTAAAAAAGGATCAAAATCGCTAACCGGCTACTCCACTACGTGCGTGCGAAGGCAAAGGGCTTAATGTGACTGCGCCAGAACGAACCGGGTGAAATACGATCGAAAAACTCTAGGTGAAATCGCAATGTGATTGTCGATTGTTTCGCTTGACGGGAAGTAGACGACATAGCCTGTTGCTTATGTCATCAGTGTATCGGTAGTGTTCTATCAAAGTACCGGACTATCCGACAGAACGACCCACCGGACGGTTTGCTATGAGTATGCGCGAGTAAAATCTTGTCCGCCGATTTTCAACCGACTATTTGCTTGAGGACAAGCAAAGGTTTAAGTTTGGGGAAGTTTGATGACGAGAAAACGCATCGGTTATATCGCTAGATTTCATTGACTTTTACCGCGCATTCACCGTTTTAACGCTCGATTCCTCGAGTTTTTCTTACTATTTTGCAGGTACATCGATATGTGAGGCCAAATCAAGAATTAAGAAGAAAAGAACAAAGAAACCACAAGAAATGAAGCAAGACAGAAGCCTGCATAAAACTCTGCATAATTTGTTACGACCACGGTCGTTACAAGGGAGTCACGACCGTGACACCTTGCTTTGGGACCTCACGACCGTGAGGAATGGGTGACGACCGTGACACTTGGAAACATAAGGCAACGAGCGTGAAGACCTTGTCACGACCGTGACAAGGATATAACGTGATTCTTTTGACCCAGACTACGTCAAAGTCACTCCTCCTAGTAATTCTCACGTGAGGGAAGTTTCTCCCACTTTCTGCTGCCACTTTCCAACATTTTCTCAACCACTTCAGCAAAGCCCAAGAAGCAAGAGATCCAGGACCAGCCCATGGGAACTCTATAAATAGGACCAGCTCAGAAGAATTTAGGGACAGACTTCAGTATCCAAATTTCCTGCGGAAGCTCTGCCGAATTACCTTACCATCATTTTATTATTCCAGCATTTTATTTTCTGCCTTATTTTATTCGTATCCAAACCAACCGTGTAACAATTTCCAACATTAGGGAATTGTTATACCTTTATTTGTTTCCAGCCTTCAGCATTTCGTTTTAAATTTTATTTCCGCCTACTCCAAGCTTTCCGGTCTGTGGAAGAAGGAGTCTACCCAGATATTGTTAATCAGGTTTTTTCAGTTATTACAATTTAATTTATTTAATTTATTTATAATGTCCAATTATTTCTCTGCCATTAGTAAGTTAATAAATAACTCTGAGTCTGATTTAACCTCGATGAGTAGCTAAATACCTTAGGGCGGTATGTAGTTATAACTAACTTAACCGGTAAGATATAACCATGGGCTAAAATAATTAATCGCTTAACATTCTGGCTGATACTTTTTAATTAAATTTGACCTTTTCGTTACGAGAGTAAGAAAAGGGTATTAGGTTGGGTCAAGACCACGAGAGTGTGAGATTTTAACCAGATAGCTAAAGTTAGGCATTTAAATTAAATACAGCGAGAGCGCTTTAAGATAAATTAGAATTATTTAGTTTCCAAAAATTATTTCTAAACACTTATGGGCTAGCGAGAGCAGGCATAGGGCTTTAGGGATAAGATCTGATTCAAGACCACGAGAGTGTGAGTTGAGGGTATTCAAACTAGTAATCTCTACCGAGTAGATTAAGTGAACATCTTTATAAGCCTAGGTTAGATTGACCCACCTAAGTTAGTATAATTACATACCGACCGTTTTAGTATTATTTTATTGAAAACTTAATTTTTATTCCGCCTTCAATAGTCTTAGGAAACCAACAAAAATCGTGACAACTATTCGCCTTAGCTAAACTAGAAGTTCATCTAGCACTACGTAACGATAGAATCCCTGTGGATCGATAATCTTAAATATTACTTCGATAGGCTGTGCACTTGCAGTAAGATACCGCTAGACGCATAAGTAGACACGTCTTTAGCCCATCAAAAAGCAATTTGTATTGTGTTTCAAATGAACCTGTTCATATGGTCAATTTATCAGAGTAAGTTTCATACCAAAAATGGATAAACCAAATTCAGAATATCATTGTTTGCAAAAGAAACATGTCTGAGTCATATTACATAATACATAGGTTTGTGCATAAGGGAGTGCATAAGATTGAATTCAACAAAAGTAGTTAACATAGTTGTGTAGAAGTTTGGAATGAATCCTTACACAAATGATCTTAACAAAATATTTGAATCTAACACAAAATGGGGTACTCACTAAAGAGTCACTCCTTCTTGAGGTGCTTCACCTTGGTTGCTGAATTCTTTGGAGTCAGGACATCATCTTGCAAAAAGTCATCAGGAAAAGTAGGAATGGCGGCCCACTTAGCTGGTGTGTTGCTAGAGCAAGTGGATCGACTGCAAGTTTGGGTGGTAGAAATTTTTGGATGTGTGTTGTAGTGCTGGCCAAAAGATTGGGTTGGCTAGACAAAACAAAACTAAATTGTCAATATTTTATGCCTGTAATACACAAAAGTATATTGGAAGTTTTGCAACATGTTAAGAAAGAAGACATACAATTGGTTCAAGTTCCATATCCATAGCATGCTCTGTATCAATTTTAAAAAAGGAAGCCTTAGAGGTATGCTGCCAAAACATAAGAGCACAAATTGAAACCAATCAGTTATGTTCAAAACATGATAAATTTGAAAGTTTACGCATTATGACTTCATTTCCACAACCAAATTGTACCTCATCCGGTTTAAGAGCTTCAGATAATATTTTGTAAACACCAGGATCGTTAAGGATAGTAACAATTGAGAATTGATTGAAAAAAGATTGATATTTGATTCTAAATGCAAATTGTTGATCCAAAACTTTGTCTAGGTGTATGGGATAAATTTTTGGGTTATCCTCTCCAGCCTTGATGAATAATCACATCAGAAATGTAAAGTTGGTGAGTAAAATCATGAATAAGAGAAACATAGTAATCAAATGAATAATGTATTTACCTCCTTCATTACTTGTCTCAATTCCCTAGCAGTCATAGTAACATATGGAATAACATCTTTATCCCAAAACACAAAGCATCCAACATGATTATCAAACTTGACTTCTACCTCAATTTTGTATCTATGCCATGAAAACAAAAGCGGTTCAAGTATGTAAAACAGGATGCAAAGTTATAATTGAAGGTATAAAAATCAGGATATAGAAAAATTACTTTGTCACAGGTTCAACATCTTTGACTCCACAAACACATATGAATTTGGTGGGAGTGGACTTGTTTGATGTCTTACAACTGGGGCAAGCCTCAAAATACCAGCCATGCTTTGATGCCTTAAATCTCTTGGTAGTACCAATGGTTGTGGCAAAACAATCCTAATTTGACATCACAAAGAGTTGGTAGATATTTGAAGAAATAATTAAGGTTGTAACGACAATTTAAAAGCTGACCTTGCCGATTTCACAAATGTGACGGATAGTCTTGACCTCATTAGAGTTTGTCCAACTTTTGTTGCCAGACTTCACAAAGGATTCAGAAGTCTGGGTTATAGAATGAGTTGGTGCAGCAGCTGAAACAGTGGATCCTAGCTTGGAAATTTTATGTAGAAACAAAGATAAAGAATCAAATCAAAGTAAACCGAGTTCAGCAAAACTTTAGACAATTATCTAACTGTTTAATGTAGGAACATACTTGGTTATAAAATCGAGAACTTGGGGATGCTCCAAGTTGATGTGGAGTCTTGATCCATTCCATGCATTAGATAGGCTAGGCAATCCAGATGCTGCTTGACAAAATTCAGACATTAAGTTATTGAATTGATAAACATAGCATGCATATTACATAATGATGCTGTTTGTAAAAACTTGAGACTAAATATTACTACTAACCGAACATGCTGGTACAAAAATGGACATGCTAAACTTGTATTACATGGGATAATTTTGAAAGGACAGGTTGCATTATTATTTGAGACAAGTTCATTGTCACTTTGTTATCTAGTTATGTCCTATTAATACATCTAAGCTTGCAAGAGTCATCCATTTCAAAGTGCACCTTGCAATGGATACCAACAAAATGCAGCAGACAGATGTTGCAAGAACACAAAAATCTATAAAATAATTTATGAATTACAAAAGTCAGAATGGTTAAGGGGAAAGTTTTATGATACATCAGTGGAAAAAAACAATGGACATGCTGCTACATATGTTACTACTAAATGATGGACATGCTGATACATTAGTAGAATAAAACAATGGACATGCTGCTATATATGTTACTACTAAACAATGGACATGCTGCTACAACAATGGAAAAAAACAATGGACATGCTGCTACATATGCTTCTAAAGAGCACACTGCAATGCATACCTACAAAATGTAGAGTCAGTATTTTGAAGAACAAAAATATCAGTTCTTGCATGTGTATCACAATAACTTTGTTACCTTAATTTTGCTTGCACCATGCGTGTGTTAAGACAATGAGTGTTGGTCTGGGAAACTTGTTGGAGCTATTATAGCTCATGAGCTGTTTACCGTAATCATCCCATAATGCATCCTCAATAATATTTCCAGCTCCATGTCTTAGAGTGATGTTGGCACATGATTTTTTACCACCACCGCCCATTTGCGTCTTCACAACATCTTGTAAAACCCCGACGACATCTGTAATATATGAGAATGAGAAAAAGTGACAATGTTTTCATATGTATCATATGTAGTTAATTTAATATCCATTTAGTATGACAAATAACAATATACACCATATGTATAATATGAATACATCTCACCATATAAGAGATCAGTGAGAAAGTCGACAATCGGCTTAAACTTGAATTGGTGTTTCGGTATTTTGGGTATTGGCAATTTCGAAACAGTCGTTCCTCCATTGAAGACAAGTTTCAACTTGTTGGGGCAAACTTTGAAAGTGCCATCATTAGTCATTGGCTCTCCATTGTAAAGGCAATAAGTGTCATGTTCAGTTAGCTGTTCAGACCAGTCTTTAAACTCACGGTTCCGAGTTGTGACATGGATTTTATCATCCTACAAAATGGATAAACATTCAAGAAAATGAACAATAATAATATAGAAACATAGCAGGTAATGATTACCTGTGGGTCTTGAATTACCAATTCGAAATGTTGTGGTCCACTTTTCTCCTTCACAATCCAAAGATCAATAACTATAATGAGCATTTTCCAAACCTGTTTCCCTTTCTCCAAGTCCTTGATGAGTATTGGGGGTCTTGACATGGTTGCTTAGAAACATAAAAGAGAAAAAATTGCTCAGGTGAATGGACATTAATCAGTATTCATATACCTTACAACTTCACAACTGCTTAAATAATTTCTGTGTAAGCAAAAATAATATATTAATAAAAACATGTTTTCATGAAAACAACCTGCATATTTTATAGTGTAAACCAAATAAGAGTTTGCAAAACAAAAAAAAAAAACGATGAAACGAACCAGAAGACCAGCAGATGTTAGGTTGGAAAACAACAACAACAGATGTTAGCAGAAGTTTGATGTTAGCAGAACAACTTGTCACAGACGAACCAGAACAACTTGGAACAACAATGTCAACTTGCAAAACCCCAAAAAATGTGAAGAAACAAACCAGAAAAGTTTGATGTTAGCAGAAGTTTGATGATGTTTGTGGGGAGGAGGGAGCAAAATCGTGTGAGTATAAGAGGTTTTATGGGTAACTCAATGTTCAAATGTTTTTGGGAAGGAGGGAAATAAAGGTTTGATACATCCAATACACACTTGACAGATGACAATAGAAGAGGGAAATGAAAGAGATGATTTTTGTCATTTAGCTGTTTACTATTTTGTCCAATATATATTGTAATTAATTTTAAAGGAAAGGGCAGTGAAATAATTTTGGACAATCTTTTTTTTAAAGTGTTGATAGTTGATTTCATGACAGAATCTTAAAACATTATAATTAATTATGAAGCAAATGAGAGATAATAAATTTAATATCATTTGTAACTAATTTTACATGAAAGAGATGTATTTTTTTAAACAAAATATTTAAATTGAATAAAAACTAATTTTTTTCCTACGTATAGTTTATAAAAAAATATTTGCATATATATTTTTACGGAAGGAGTAGTATAGTTGTAACAGAAAAAAAGTTAAAAACCAATTTGCGTTATATACGCTTTTATATGGATAACAAATCTTTTAAAATATTTTTAATTAAAAAGGTAACAAATCCGTTTAATTAAAAACAAAATAAAATCCATAAATAAAACTTGTTGGCTACGTACGCTGGAGTCCAACCTAGTTGCATTATAAATACTATCAAGCTATTCACTAGTTTATAGCTTCCAAGGGTTAGGGTTTTTTCTTCTGAAAAAAGCTGAACAACAATAGTATCCAACAATCAACGTTCAATAGATCAACCTCAAGAGTCGTGATGGTGATGTTTTTGAAATCGATGAAGCGGTGGCGTTGGAATCACAAACCATCAAGCATATGATTGAGGATAATTGCGCTGATGAAACCGGAATCCCTCTTCCAAATGTAACCAGCCAGATTTTGGCAAAGGTTATTGAGTACTGCAAGAAGCATGTTGCGGCTGCGAATTCTGAAGAAGAGTCTGTTGATGAGAAGGCTCTCAAAACATGGGATGCCGAATTCGTCAAGGTGGATCAAGTCACACTGTTTGAACTCATATTGGCTGCAAACTATTTGGACATCAAGAGTCTGTTAGATCTTACAAGCCAGACTATTGCGGACTCGATGGTTGGTAAGACAGTCGAGGAAGTTCGCAAGATGTTCAACGTTGAGAATGATTTCACAAAAGAAGAAGAGGAGGAACTTCGCCGCGAAAATCATTGGGCTTTTGAATGATTATATATGCTTAGTACTTTTTTCTTTCAGAATTATATTTATAAATTTGAGTTTGATTTAATGTTTCTTTGATATTTATAGTAGATGATGGGTTGATTGTTTTGTGCAATTGGATCCATTCTCTTCTATGGATGTAGATAGATTAGTATGTAGATAGATTAGTTTGTGTATATTTTCTTATGGTTGTATTGTGTATCATTCTTCTCTTTCACATTTTGTGTAGTAATGAACACTTCATGGTTTAATTAGCTGATCAAATAAATATTTAATAATTATTATTTTATTTTAAATTATAATAAATTATAAAGGATAATGGTGAATTTTAGTTAAAATAATAAAGATAAAAGTGAAAATGATAAGCTATAAATTATAAACTTTATAAACTAAAACGCTATTTAAAATAGTGTCTAAAAAATAAACTATAAACTAATAAAATAAACTATAAGCTCATGCTGAATTTTTTATATTAAATAAATCTTTTATTGTCACATAAATTCATAAGCTATGAACTCAACAAATATCTTACCATACTAGCCTTACTTATTAATGTTCAAGAATTACACATATGAAGAATATCATATCAAAAATCATTATTTATTTATTTATTTGTTTATTTGGATGTTAATATTATTTATTTATGGACATGCTTTGATGATAAGTAATGTTCAAGAATTACACATATGAAGAATATCATATCAAAAATCATTATTTATTTATTTATTTGTTTATTTGGATGTTAATATTATTTATTTATGGACATGCTTTGATGATAAGTAATGTTCAAGAATTACACATATGAAGAATATCATATCAAAAATCATTATTTATTTATTTATTTGTTTATTTGGATGTTAATATTATTTATTTATGGACATGCTTTGATGATAAGTAATACAAACTTTACTATTCTCTTTCTCTCTTTTGTCTATATTCTATTATTTTAGTTAATTTTATAACAAACACTATTATTATCGAGTTTAAAGAAATTTGTTTGTTTGTTCCTAACGAATAAATTTGTTTTGTTTGATCCGAATTAGTAGATCAATTTATTCGTTGTAGTGGAAGGATGATTCAACTCTTTATTTTTTTATTTTTGATTAATCAGGTTAATCGAATGAAACAGACTTGAGCTTTTCTTTCTTTTTAAATATAAATTTTTTTTTATACATGATCCAAATCCTTTATACTATCATGTAGATTAATATGAAAAAATGTTGTATATTATCATTTTCATATAGATCAATTTTTTTTCCTGAATTGTTATTTTAGGCATGGATAAAATGAGACCTAATGAATCAATGATAAATTACATCAATCAAAATTTAGTTCATGAAAAAGTAGTAATAACATTTTCAAGAGAATTTCAAAAAGGAGAGTTGTGCTAGACCGGTTTTCAGAGATCTGGTGTTAACTTGTCTTTCTGTAGGCAATGTTCTGATTTATGATCAACAGTTTTTTGAAGAGGAGATCAAGGAGGCTATTTGGATCTGTAACGGGTCGAAGAGTCCTGGGTCTGATGGGTATTCTTTAAGCTTTTTTCAGTTTTATTGGAAGACGGTGAAGAATGATGTGATTCTTTTGTTAAAGACTTTCAGTCTAAGCCTACTTTGACCAAGGCTGCTATGGCGTCGTTTATTGCTCTTGTTCCAAAAGTTGATAACCCGGAGAAATTGGTTAATTACAGACCAATTTGTTTGGCCAGCGCTTTCCAGAAATTTTTGTCTAAAGTTATAGTTGCTCGTCTAAAAAGAGTCATTGGTAGCCTTATTTCGACTGAGCAAACGACATTTGTGAAAGGCAAGTATATGTTAGATGGGGTGGTTGTTGTCAATGAGATCTTAGACTTAGCGAAACGTTCGAAAAGGGAATGCATGATTATGAAAGTTGATTTCAAAATAGCATATGATTGTGTTGACTGGGAGTTTCTTAGATTCATGTCGAGGAAGCTTAACTTTGGTTCTAGATGGATCTGATAGATGGAAGCTCTAGTGCTCAATGGTACAATGTCGGTTCTCGTCAATGGGAGCGCTACTAAAGACTTTGTGGTTGGAAGACGATGTTCTTTTCGAAAGAAAAAGGTGGTCTTGGGATCAAGGATATCACATTGTTCAATAAAGCTCTCCTTATAAAGTGGAAGTGGAGGTTCATATTGAACGAAGATGCAAGTTGGAGAGGAATCTTGGAACATAGGTACACTTTTTTGAACTTTAATCTTGCAGTGAGGGTTCTGAGTAAAGGAGGATTATGAGGAGGTAAAAATTATTCTATTTGGTGGAGGGATATGTCAGTTGGTTTTAAAAAGGAGGAGCCGAGGGATATGTCAGTTGGTTTTGAAAAGGAGGAGCCGAGGGATACTTTAGCGATGAATATAAGTGAGAGATTGGGTGATGGCAGCAGGGTTCCTTTTCGGCATTGCTTATGGTTGAATAATAACTACCTCAAGGAATCATATCAAAACTTGTTCAACTTATTTCCAGATAATTTCAGTAGCATATCTGCCTTAGGATACTAGTGTAACAATTTTTGGTTTTGGGAAATTGTTGTACCTTCTTTTGCTGTTGGATCTGCAATGTTTTCGGATCTTTCAGGGCTTGTTTCTTTGTTGTCCGAATTTCATGCTGAATAAATAGAGAAGAACGTCTTCAAATGGATTTTAGAAGATAATTAAGTTTTTTCCCGTCAAATCCAACTATGAGGCGTTGGCTAGACATAACCATCATTCCTTTTTTGTTGAAGAGTAGAGCAGGCTCTGAGAATTCTTTTGAGATCCAACTGCCACTCGAAGATTCAACTTTTTATGCGGAGGCTTTGCTTGGGGAGGGTGGCGACGAAAGTTGAGTTGGCAAAGAGAGGTGCCAAGTTTGGAGGTAATAGTTTGCATTGTGCTTTGTGTATTGTTCTGTTGAATCCATTAATCATCTTTTTTTAGGTTGTCTGGTATCAGTTAGAGTTTGGAATGGTGTGAATAGGTGGTTGGGTTTGAAGGAATGTTTTATCAGTTGGGCTTCCTCTTTTGTTAGCTTTGTAAACAGGTTGAGAAAGGAGGTGGGCAACAAAAAGGGTAGGAAATTTTACCCCATACCCCTACAATTATACCCATACTCCTACATTAACATTTTTTGGACCAAAATACCCTCGTAAGAAAATTTATAATTTTTTTCATTTGTTCACCGGAAGACTTTTTGCAAGTCTTCCGGTTCATATTTTTTTCTTTTGTTCATCGAAAGACTTTTTGGAAGTCTTTCGGTTAACATTCACCGGAAGACTTTTTGGAAGTCTTCCGGTTCATGTTTTTTTTAATAATTTTTAATACTGTCAATTAATTTTTTTTTATTTACTATCCTATCATATAATTTATTAAAAATTAAAATTAACATTTATATAATATT